AGAGGGTAAAAGTAATGGAAAACAGTTCTAGGCTTTACACTGATTACAACTGAAAAATACGGGAACAGTGCTGGAATGAGAAAACGGATGTCACCTCAGGGGCCCAGAACTAGTGCTGAGCACACACTCTGCACCAGCCCTAGTGCTTCTTTCAGACGTTATTTATTTGTATCCAGCTCTTTCCGTTGTTTTCAGTGGTGTGGTGCAGACACCATTACCTGAAGTAGGAAAACTGTCCTGACTTCTAGAATTTGAAAAAGAATAGACACATGTATAACTGAATCACTTTGCTGTCCACCTGAAACTATCACAACACTGGTAATCAACTCTACTCCAGTATATAATAAAAAGTTAAAGAAAAAAAAAAAAGAATCCACTTTATAATATAAAAATAAATAAATAAATAACCCTTTTGTCTCCTGTATCAATCACACAGAAACGTCATAGTTTTGCCAGGGATGGGTTCTCCTGGAACGTATGTGTCGGCATGGAGGCACAGAATCATCTAGCCTGAAAGCAGGGCTGACAAGGCAGCTTGGCGTCACCGCCCCAGATCCCGGCATCACTCACCACGGGTACCACTGATGGACCAACCTTTCTAGGAATCACAGTTCAAAGCAGACTTTGCCAGTCTGTGGCTGTATCTCTAATTTCCACAGCAAACTTAAATAATCTTCATTCTAAAATTTCATTATCTGAGAAAGACTTACACCCCACTGAGGGAAATAGTAATTAAAGATAGAAAAGTCCTTGTTACAACAGAGAGCCAGATGTGGCTCACAGATTAAAAAAAAAAAAAAAAAATTTGCCTGTGAACTTTCACGATGTACTGCACATCCTATTAAAAAGCGCTGTTATTCACCACCTCCCCCTGCAGACATGCACCTCACTCGACTGCTTCTCACTACCAGTCAGGGCTGTGAGTACATCCAAAACCCACCATGAACTTAACTTCTCCTTCCACATTAAAAAATATAGCGAAAAGACCAAACCCTGAAGAATAAAGTAAGAAATTATGGAACTCTGCAACAATGGTGATTTTCTGGTATTTGAAGGATACCAGAATTTACTGTATCTTGACATAACTCAGAAGGTAGTACTTCAAAATCAATCTATTACTAGGAAGTTTCTAACCTTAAAATTACACTAAAATTGGATACTAAAGCCATGTTCTAAGAAAAGGTGTGATTTCAATGAAACTGGTAGAAGTTTTTGTCAGTGAAAAAGCACCTCCGAAAATTCTCTCCTCCGTTCAAGTCATGAGAAAACTGACAAAAATTCTCAGAAGCATGTAGCAATCTTAACCAAAGGCATGTAGTAATCTGAAGCATGTTCACTCAAAACGGCTGAACCTCAGCTAAGACAGCAGTGTGCTTTGTGATGTTTTCAATGGCCCCGTCCCCATGCCATCTCCCACTCCACGGCAGCCTTGAAAACCAGCAGCCTGGCAACCCCTGGAGACTGTTCCCCAGGAAACACCACGTGCAAGGCCGTCTTTGACTGGACTCAGATCTCTCGCAGGCCGAGAAGCCTTTCCTCAGGGGTTTGTCTAGAGGATTACAGGCAACTGTACAATTTTGTGGCTGCCTTAGATGATGGCTAACCGTTGGGACTAATTAAAAGCCTAAAGGGAAAGGCTGGGAAATGTCCAGAGGGGCTCAGAAAGCTGTCATATTCCTGGGTACCAGCCATGCACATCGCAGGGCTGAATGCATCCTCGGGGAGGACCTGGGGAGGACCCAAGTGCTCACCCCTGGCTGACCCTGAGGCTCTGTGCTGCAGGTAGTACTCACAGAAATGCCAAACCCGGTGGTAAAACACGTTCTCTAATTAACATCCAGCCAGCAGCATGACCCTGGGGAGCCACTCTACCCCTTCTGAGCATCTCAATTCCCTGACTGGATTGAACCTGTCCATGTGTAGGTGAAAGTATGTGTTTGTCAGAGAACATGCATGCGGTTGTTCATGGGTGCACTTTAGACTCTAGATGGCTCAGAAACTGCAAAATGTCTGCATGCATATTTGCACTTTTTCATAAAGGGTCTAATGTCTTCATCAGATAAAGGAGCCAATTACTCAAAAAACAGTCACGAATGACTAAGACCAGATCTCTGGTAGGCCTTTTACAGTAGTAAATTCTAAGGGAAGATTAAAAACCATACACACACAAACACATTTGCTATAAGACAGTAGAGGCCTTTTAATATTGTCTACGTGTGCTTATCTTACGGAGGAAGTATGAAAGAAGTATAGTAGCCAGAGAGATAAAAATAAAAAATTAAACCTACACAAAAGTTAATCACATAATAAGATTCGGAAATATATTCAAATAATTGCAAGCCTATAAGAAACATTATAAATTATTTCATGATGAATTTTTTGTCTATGGATTTAATATATTCATTTCTGTTCTAACCCCAAATTTTATTTATGAAAAATTAAGACCAACTTTAAGAACCTTCAATATTCACTTTTATTATTTATAAAAAAATTAAGGTATGAGAGTGCATATGGTGTACTGCGATCTTGGGTTTGCACATTTATTCACGTGTTTACATTATTTCAACTTTAATAAACATACCATATATGTATCTTTACAATACCTGATACCGATTTAAGCTGTCTGGCACTTATACATGTATTATTAGTTCATTCTGGTGCTCTGCACGTCAAGAAGATGTTAAAAATGATTGGCCTGAAATAACTCCAAGATGAAGACTGATTGAAGCAGTTATGCTCCAGCGTTTGCCACAAATTTATTTGTGCCGGTTTTATTTTCTCCCCTTAATTGAATGTAAACGTTTGCCAAAAAAAAAAAAAAAAAAAATCTGGAAATGAAGTTGTTACTTTTTAGTCTAATAAATAATTTTAGCTACGCTTAATGTAGCTTTTTTAAGGCCTTCATACAATTGAAAAAAATTAAAGTCGCGCATGTTAAAACCCTGTTCATTTATAAAATAAAAAATAGAATTTTATAGGTTTGCAGTTGAAAGTTACTGTTCAAAACCTCTCATGCACGTAACAGCTGCAACCCAACTGAAAGTCCTTGGTGCTGGCAGCCAGGGCACAGCCAGCTGCCAGCAATGTGAGGCATTAAGAAAACACCATGATGTCAGAGGTCTAGATTTACATGTATTAAGCCACACGCCAGCAAATTCTCTGATAAATACACATCATTTTAATAATCAGTATTTGATAGCAGATGAAAACATGCATTAGACTAAAAATGCCACAAATTTGTTTTTACATCCATTCACTATAAAACTTTCTTTTTTAAAATTTAAAGTCTTGGTTCCTATTTTAGAATACACAGTAATCAGGAGGATACATGATGGGGAGCCAGTTTTCGGTAAAAGACGCACAATGGGTCCATCCAAGCAGCTTCATCAGCTATAATAAAACACACACAATTATTAAAGAACAGATGTTTCAGCCTCAGCATTTAGGGTAAATTCTGTATTAAATATTTAGTAGTAATAAAGAAGTAGCAGGTAGAACTTTCCTTCCATCAACTCACCCACAACCTTCCTTCTGCCCGACCCGCCTATCCGGGCGATTATCATCACCCCTGCCAACCCTCCTGCCTTCCCTCCCTCTGTCCTCCTGGCCTCCCATCGACTTGACTGACTTGCTTCTTTCTTTCCGACCACCCTAGTTTCCTTTCCCTCATTCTTCCTGAGTGCCTACGGTAGTCAAACACTGTTCTAGGCATTAGGAAAAAGCACTGAACAAACTCACTTCCCACTTTCAGGAAACTTAAGTTCTATGCAGGAAAGCCAAACAGAAAGTCAGCAAGCTAATGAACAGATAATAAACAAGTAAATAATAAGTAATGTATCAGGTATATAGTAAAAATAAAACTTGCTATAATACAGACTGGGAAGTGAGATGGTCAAGAAAGGGATCTCTGAGGAGGTGACACTTAAGCTGAAATCTGAGTGACAAGAAGAAGCCTACTCTGTGAAAATCTGGGGGAGAGCTCTCCATGCAGCTGGAAGAGCTGGGGTCCTCGAGAGGGAAAGGGTGCACTGTGCCAGCCAAGCAGAGAGGAGGCCGGGACGGCAGAAGCAGAGTGAGGACGCGGGAGAGTGATATGAGATGCAGCTGGAGAGGCCGCTGGCAGGGGCTGGACCACACGGGCCTTACAGGCCACGGGGAGGAGTCTGGATTTTACTCTAAATGTGATGGAGCTTCACCAGGAGGGGTCTAAAGCCATCTCTTCCGGCTGCTGTGTGGAGAACAGACAGCAGGCGAGCAGAGTGGAGGGGAGACAAGTTATGAAACATCCCCTGGTGTAAGCATCTGGGTGGATGGCGGGCTTCACAAATGTAAGAGCTCAGTTCACAGCCTATGTGATGAGAAGACATTAAGTTCCAGAAAGAGCTCTCTCAACCTCCTCAAAGATCTGAAGAAGTGAATTTGAAATGTCTTACAATTTGAACTGACAGAAAAGGTCTGAGAGTAAAAATAACCTATAGTTTACTCTAATTACCAGAAATTGCCCCAGGAACCTACAGGTGAGTTTTACATCCAAAGAATACCTTCAATATGAAGACCAGACCCTCGGCCACCTTTGGCAGGACCAGCGTACCCCAACCTCCATATACCCTTTAAGCATAAACCAACTATACGTGTGCAAAGACAAGGCTAGGCTGAAACAATTTCTGTGGGGTTCAGTAAGTTCTTACAGTTGACATTTAATTTGTGCAGAGAGCTCAACCACAGAACTTCCCTGCATATAATACATGGTAAAATAAAAAATGGCCTATTGTGTCAAATGAAGAATAAAATCAAACATAAACTCTAGAAGAAGTTCAACCGTTTTAGAACTGAGGCAACATGTATTTAAAAGAAATCATCTGCTTCCTTTGTAAAGGAAACCTGTCTTCTAACTACACAAAATATGCAATGCATTTTGCCTATGTTGAAAACACTAGAAGCTAAAAATATAGGTTTTCTGGACAGGAGTGAAAAATGTTTTAAAAATTTAAACAGCTTACTGACTACCTTTCATGCATTTATTTTATAGTTCACATTATGTTAATTAGACTAATAATTAGTCATGATAAAGTTGGTACTGTTTTATCACTACCGTAAGGCTTTCTAACTATCTTGTCACTCTACAATATTGAAATGACACCCAACAGTGGCAATTTAAATATCACTTACTTGAATACAATTTTTCCAGTTTTCTTTTGTTGGTTTTTCTTCCACAAGTTTAGTTGCAAATTTAAGGCCTCTCCCATACATTTTATTTACGAAGGCATGCTTGTATGCAAATGTCAAAACCTACAACGTAAAACAAGATACAGCTCATCTACAAAATATTTACAATTTAAGGCATATTGCTTTAATAATGAAAGAACTGGACTTCCCTGGTGGCGCAGTGGTTAAGAATCCACCTGCCGATGCAGGGGACACGGGTTCGATCCCTGGTCCGGGAAGATCCCACATGCTGTGGAGCAACTAAGCCCGTGCGCCACACTACTGAGCCTGCAAGCCACAACTACTGAAGCCTGTGCGCCTAGAGCCCGTGCTCCGCAATGAGAGAAGCCACCACAATGAGAAGCCTGCACACTGCAACGAAGAGTGGCCCCTGCTCGCTGCAACTAGAGAAAGCCCGCGTGCAGCAACAAAGACGCAACACAGCCAAAAGTAAATAAATAAAAATCAAAGAAAAAATAATAAAGAAAAATAATGAAAGAACTGAGTGTAGCTTTTCAAATGAACATGTTACATCAAGTAAATTTTAACAACTTTTTAAAACAACAATTAACATCTTTAAAAGAGCTGGGTATCCCACAGAACAGATAATCTATTTGGGGAAAGAAAGCTATTATGATAAATCACTAGCTGTTGGAATCCATACCAAAATACTTCTATGCAAAAGAAAGCAGAGCTAACATAAGTGATGACAAAATTGCAAGTTAGACGTACAAAACTACAGAGTCACTATAAATTACCAAAATTGCGAGAGGATAAAAGTAAACAAATGAAGTGTCAGATTATATAAACATGTTCTTACTTTCAACTGCTTCCTTTTGTACAAGTTTTCTACCTTTAATTACTGCATCTGTCAAAAATACTCGTAAGCATTTGTTTATATCTTTAGTCTCCACTTTTAGAATGTGCAGCATGTCCTCAAAGAAAGGAATCCTGTCACACTTACCTGTATTCTAGAGACAAGGAAAGGGCTCAACAACTGTTGCTACAGACACAGTAAACAGACAGGTGATATAATGCACACCCCTAACATAAGAGCGCTGCGGCAAGAACAGAATTCTTTATAACAGCTTTATTGTGATGCTCATCAAGTGTCTATCGACTTGATGCTGGACCAGGCTCTTATTCATCTTTTTCCCAGCAGCGAGCGCAGTGTCTGGCACACAGCAGACACGAGATAACTTTGTTAGTAGTAACAGCAAGTATTGCCGACGTCCTTCCAGGTACGTGATACTCATTCATAAAATCCTATGGTACGCAGCACCACAGCCCATGAGCATTCGGTCACCCGCCTACGGTCACACAGGTCAAAGCGGCAGGGGCAGAATCCAAGCTCCAGGGGCCTGATTTCAGATCCAAATTCTTAACCTCTGGTGCTGCCTCCTTCAGTTTCTGGAACATTACTGAGTTCCTTCTATAAAAGCACTACTGTACTGAGGTGGAACAACCTGAAGCAGATAGGAAGAATTCTCTCCTACTTCAGAAACCTTTACTACCGATCACCATAGTTAATCTTGAAAACAAGCACCTGTCTACTAAAAAATCGCCAGTTTGTGCTGAAAGAAGAATTCCACTGATTACATTTCCTTTTTTCTTTCTTTATGTCCAGAAGAAAGGAAGACTGGCAAATACCTGTAGCTATATAATCTCTACTGTTAAGAATTATAGTAGAGAGCTGGACGGCATTTTACACGTTTTTATAATCTAAACCCAAAAAGTTCATCAATGTTACTTTTTTCTACACTGGGCTTTAAAAACTGATCAGGTACAAATCAAGATGATAGTTATTTAGAAGTTAAAGAGTTTGGAGAGAAATAACATATATCTAAACTAACCAGAATACCCCCATCTCCATCCCTGACAAATGAGCACAGGGACAGGTGTGGGAAGGTACGAAGACAGCTTTCAGATGCCCTTAATTTTAGCTGATACATAAATGGCTTAACCAAAAGCCCGCCACACACGGTCTCCAACTGTTTCCCCAGCTAGCATGGTCCACCAGCCACTATGCGGACAGACCAAACAACGGTCAAGTGGTTTCAAAGCCAGGAAGACCAGGGAGGCCTCGCTAAGCACCTCGTCTTCTTTGGAGCCCAGCTCAGCCTCGTTCCATTTATCCTCGTCCTCTCTGGCCGGGCCCGCTGGGCACAAGGGATCTGGGATGCACCCCCAAGAACTGCAGCGAAACAAGAAGGAGAAAGGGTACCTTACTGTCGAAAAGATCAGTCCATTTTGTAGCTTCCCAGAAAGTTTCTGTCAGAGAATCCAGGGCGCTCTCTCCCTCCTCCTCTCTCCCTTCCAGGTCGCCTGATGCAGCCCCATCCTCCTCCCGGGCCTGGAGAAGGTGGTCGGCCAGGGCACAGCCTTTCCTACACAGGGCGTCTACGAGCGTCGACTTCTGCTTGTCCATGTCACTGTGCGCCAAACCAACACATTCAACAGATCAGGAGAACATCTTTAAAAGTACAGCCTCACCCGAAATTAACCTCATGCCTTCTCTGCCTAAGATTTACAATGCAGCAATGTGGTGTAGCCATGGTGAGACATCTGCATTGTGCAACGCATGAGCCACTGTGTTCCACACACAGGTTAAATGAGTTAGGATCGCTGTAATCGGTTGAAACAGCATGCCATGCACAACAGAGGGGAAAGACTGTTGGGTCAATTCTGTCAGCTAAGAAACTCTTAGAATAGTATCTTCTAAGTGTTTCAACTTCTTATGTCAGTCGTTACATACTTGTGTAGTTGTGAACTGTCACGCATACACAGAGCAAAGGAATACAAGGCTTACTCTAGCATTTTAACACATTAACTCATTTATACTCAAAATAACTCTATGAGCAAGAGACCATCAGTTGCCTCTATTTTGCAAAGGAGGAAATCGAGGCACAGAGAGATCAGGCGATCTGTTCAAGGTCCCACAGTTAGGGAGCGGCAGATCCAGGACTCCGAGCTCTGCGGCTGGTCCTGGAACCCCTGCTCTTAATCGCCGGGGCCACCTACCTTGCTCCAGGCAGGCAGCTTTGTTTCTGATGTGTTCCAATGCCCAGAACAATGCCTGGCACGGAACAGACACTCAGTAAATTGTTGCTGAATGAAATACAGTAACAGCCTACACTCCTGGGACAGTACTGGCCCCTCCAATGCTTATTTGACGCATCCTGTCCAACTCCTGTCAGATATGTCTAAAGATGAGGATTAAAAGTGCTGAGAAGATGACCAGGAGGCACTGAGATATGGGATGAACAAACTGTCTAACGGTAAGCATGATTCTGAAGGACCCAGAATGAAACGTGCTGCCTATGAAATCCACTGGGACTATCAAATCAACAACAATTTGTACAAAAGACAATTAAAATGAGAAGAGGAGGGAAAAAAAACCCAACACAACGCCAATAACCTGCTACAACCTAAGTTACCCACCTTAATACATTTGCAATGCAGATGAAATTATGCCTAAAAGATACCCAAGAGCTTATGAGCAAAGAGTTTCAAAGTTTAAAAGAGCCAACTCTCACTCTCTTTCCTGGGAAGTGTTTCTGGGGACTTGAAGTGCTTGGTCACTGTGGACTTAAGAACAGAACGATGGATGGGCTTTCATTTACTGAGTCCCTCCTTACCCCACCACCTCTTAGATGCCAGGCGGCGCCTGAAATGTCTCAGCAGTACTTCACTCATGCTTTAAGCAGCCTCAGCAGTCAAGCATTATCCCCACGTTGTGAGGGAGAACGGGGGCCGTGGAACGGAACTGGGCAGGCAGGGCAGGTCTGGATATCCACTCACCTACGGCATCCCGACTGACTGTCCTGGCCACCCAGAGGAGGGCTGCAGGATGCAGAGCTTGGAGGGCAGGCTGGGGTGACAGCTGTGCTGGACTCGCCAGGCCTGGATTGAATCACCTTTAAGACCCCTTTCTACTTCCGCATTCTCTGATCCAATAACCTAAATTCCAAATATCTGGAATGTTCTCTTCCTACCCTCTTCTAACTTTGAACTGACCTGCTCAGATTAAATACCTATTAATCTATGATGACTTCTCTGCTCTCCTTCTCATGGGCTTTCACAGTTTTAAAATACTTACTATAACTGTTAATCACATTCCATCTAGCAATTATCATCTTCTGTATTAGGCTGTATGTTTTCTAAGAGTAGAGAGTGTCTTGTTCATTTTTTTTTTACATCCCTCTCAGTGGTGCTACATACAGTGCTTGGTCAATAAATCTCTCTGAATCAAAGTTAGTTAGGGACTGATTAAGGTGGTAATAGCTACATTTTAGGAAGTAACTTCAATTAGATACTTTAGTGGCCTAAGTAAACTGCAGTTTAATTAAAACTTAGATCCCCTACAAAAAGTTAATATTTTTAAGATTACAAAATGGCCGTCTTGCAATTTTTGACACAAGTTGACTTAAGCAAAAGCAGCTGGAAATGAGAAATCCATGCTCCATATAATCCTTTGTATATAACTGGCATTTCATAATGTATATAACTGGCATTTCATAATGCATATAACTGGCATTTGTATATAACTGGCATTTCATAAATGGTGGCTGCACCATCCACTATTATTATTAGCAACAATAAAACAGCAATGTTTCGAGAAGGTTCCTTTGGAAAAGTGTGAATGACAATGGCCAAGAACCTATTCTGAACAACTTTTATTCCGCTTGAACACTGCTGCTTGTAAGATTCGTTAAGACCTGTAATATCAGTATAAACGATGCAAGGTCAAGAGTTCTAGCAGTTTAAAATCAAGCGTTTTGTATGTATATAAAAAAATTCTGACTGAAGCAGATGGAATCTTTAAGGGAAACTACCATATTTTCAGGCAGCCTGCACGGTTTCAGTTTATTATTAGTTACAACAACGCTAAGAGGAGGAAACTTCCACCCTTGTAAGTTAAGGACCCCCAGGGTTGGAAATAAACCAAAGTGACAGAGGGAGACTGGTACTGAGAGTGTGGGAGTGTTATCAGGAGATGATGGTAGGAGTTCGTGGAAGGGTGAACGGGAAAGCCGCCGGACCGTCATACCAGCAAGCGGAAACCACACTCTCGCACGGATGGAGCCTTACAAACGCATAAACCCAGCTACGCGTCTGTTGTACACATCACGTTAGAGTTTACTAAGGCTAAAGTATAATCCCCCCACCCTTGTTCTCAAGTAGTACTGTAAACCCAGTTTCATAAAACTGAAGTTGCCGGATAATGGTTTTAACCCAATTTTATTTCTTATCACTTTACTAATAAGCATTATAAACTAAATTTGGAGCCTGTCATGCTATTAGTCAATAAACACTTGAAAAATTAATTTTATAGGGTGCTCTATGTTTCCTTCTCCATGTGTCCAGTTCACACATATCCCCCAAATGGCTGGACTGCTTGATCACAGTCACTTAAATCTCTCCACCATGACAGTACCTGATGGTGGAGGAAGCAAACGACTTTTCTTTTGCTTAATCTTAAACGACTGGAGAAAATTACTATAAGATATTTAAGGATGGAGTATCCCCAAATCGGTAACTCCAATGATAAGGATATAAAAAATACCAGAAAAGAAGGATATTTTCAATAATTAAAAAAAGTAACTAAGAAATGAGATGCAAGAAAGAGTATTTACTGGTTAGGTACTTTTTTATAATAGCTGCATCGGGCCTGGGGTCAGTCTTCATCGCAATATAAACTGCTAGGGCCGTTTGATCTATATGAGAAATAACAGCATTTGCAGCTTCGACAATTTCATTAAGCCTTTTCATTCGTTCCTGGGGAGGAAAAAAAAGAAGAATTAAGAAAAAAATGGATGTATCCATGAGCCTCCTGATGCATTTCACTTCTGAGTTAGGACTCGCGTGCTGCGGGACCAGGTAGGCTGTGCAGCCCAGGGGCTCCACACTAGCTCCTGGTGCAACCTTTATGACGGTCAGCATCTCTAGAAAACCTGAGCTCAGACAGGAAAATACCTACCCTACACTCCCCACTGGCGCTGAATGGAGTAATAAGCAAGATAACGAAGTTCACAGAAATATAAACTGTTTTCTACAGAGACAGCTCTTTCCTTGGGTAACTTAAAAGTTCAGAAACGTGATCAGCTATGTTACCCCAGTCCCATAGCACATGAAAACAGAAGTAAAAAAAGCACCAGCTGATGAGACAAATTCTAATCTATTACTGAAACCTCCGAAATGAGAGTAAACAGGAACAGAAGCAACAGAGTCTCACTGCTGGCCCCGGGCTGTCCTGGCGTCCTCAGCAATCCGGCTCCTCACAGGGCCTGCGGGCTCACACTTAACCCTTGGTGACTCTTAGGTGGTTATGGCCACAAATGCCACAAGCACTTTCTACAGCCAGGACTCCCAGTGAGAGCTGGTCCACTGAAGACAGCTGGGAGCTACACGGCCAATTATCAGAAATCAGAAACGAAGTTAGCCAAGGTAGTGCAGAGGAGCTCCGCTTTTGCTGCAGGCGCCTTAGACTCCAGCAGGCCACGACCATGGCCTTCTGCTCCCGGCTCTTCAGGTCAAGGTCAGAAAAGCCACCCTTAGGGTTTCCTATCTACTCCTCCCACTGACCAAACGTGAGTCCTGAGTCAGCTTAATGAAAATAGCTCAACAGAACATTCAATCTGAGGCGACACGTTTTCAGTCGGCAAGAAGAGAAGACAAAGACTGCCCCCTTGTTCCAAAGGCAAACCTCATCTAATACTGCAAACAAAATGAGACTCATAGTAAAACCGAACACGCCCAACCTTTTCAGCATCCAACTGATGAAGTCGTGCAACGTACAGAGGGAGATAATTAGGGTATGTTTCCTTCAATTCATTATAAATGTCACTAGAATCCAGCCTACATATGTAAGAAAGAGAAACAGTCATTATTTCAGTTCTTTTAGAAAGAAAATAATTTCTGTCTTTCCTATTACTTTACTTAACATTGTTTTGAAGTTCCAGCTAATAACCTAAGGTATCAATCTGAAATATAATTACTGACAAAGACTGTATTAATTTGTAGGCAGTATAAATATGCTTACTGAGAAAACCAAAAAAAAAAAATCAAACCGGAAATTATTTCATTTAAGAGTTCAATAAGATGGTCAGATGAAAGTAAGCATCGACAGCTTTCCTACGTACCAGCTATAATTAGATTTATCAACGGGGGGGGGGGAAACATTCAAAAACAGTTAAGAAAGATTAAAAGATCTAGAAATGCCTAAGATCTACAAAGAAGGAAAATTTACACTGTTTTGGAAGAATCTGAAGTCTTGAATGAACAAAGAGACAGATGTTCCACGTTCCCAGCTGGGGAAGCTGAAGAAACTATGTCTGTTCTTACTGACTCCGCGGGAGGAAGAGCAGCAGAGCAGAGGCCATGGTTTGCCCCGCCTGGGGGCAAACCATGGTGTCCCATAGGGGCGGGGCCCCCGGGCCTGCGTTCTCAGCAGTGCCCACCTGGCAGACTCTCTGCGTCGCAGGCGGGGGCTGAGCAGGAGAGAACGCCCGCCTCTCAACGGAATTCACCCAGAACCTGGCCTCAGCAGCAGGCTGTGGGGCTGGGGTGCAGGCCGACACGTGGCGAGCCCCTGCCCCTCCCAGCAGGAGAGTCCTCCAAGCCAAGGGGACGGGGAGCCTGCAGTCCTGGCTGCAGCCAGTCTGGAAGAGGCTCCGCTTCACTGAGCTGGGAGTGGGAAGAGAGTGACCTTGGCTCACATACCAGAGTCTCACTTTTCTTACTGAACTTTTGTAGGTGTTCTTAAATTGGTGTTTCTCCGTTTGCTGTATGTCCTTAGGATCATTTCCAGAGGTTTAAAAAGGTTTGTTTTAAATTTGCTCATAATTAAATAGTAACTGGAAAACCAGGACACAGTATCACTCACCTGCTCCATGTATAAATACAGAGACAACTAATAATAACAGGACAATGATTATCTTTGGAAAGGGGGCAAAAAGTGATTCATTTTCTTTTTTGTACCTTCCAATAAAATTCTCTTCCAAGAGCAGATCAGAATAAGGATTAAAATTTTTAAAATTCTTATCACAAAAGGGAATTAAAAACTAAATATAGGGCCTCCCTGGTGGCGCAGTGGTTGGGAGTCCGCCTGCCGATGCAGGGGATACGGGTTCGTGCCCCGGTCCGGGAGGATCCCACATGCCACGGAGCGGCTGGGCCCATGAGCCATGGGCGCTGAGCTTGCGCGTCCGGCAACGGGAAAGGCCACGACAGTGAGAGGCCCACATATCGCAAAAAAAAAAAAAAAAAGAAAAGAAAAAAAACTAAATATAATTACAAGAAAATTTAAAAGCACTTGCAGTCCTATCCACTGTTAACATTTCTGAATACACAGCCTTTGCATACACACACAATACTGTTGTAACTGGGAAAATAAAAGTAAACGCTTAGAGGATTAAAACTCATTTAAAACTTACTTTGTCATCCACTGAATTTTAAGATCTCGTAATGCTTCAGTAAACTCTTCTTTTAAATCTTTCTCTTTTTCTGAATCTTTCTCTTTGTCTTTGCTGCCATTCTTTGTCTTTGTTGGTGGAGATATTAGGTAGTAATGAACAGGGATTACATCCTGTGAAAAATGAACGTGGAGAGAGAGTCTTAGATTAACATGCTTAATATTCTTTATTTAAAAATCTTCAATAGCCGAACAGCACGTAACATTGGCTGCACTTGAGCGGTACTACACTGTATTTCAGATTCTAAGGGCCAAAATACATCTAAAGTTCCAATCTGAGATCAAAGTAATTTTCTCCCAAACTTTAAAGCTATTGCTTCTAATAACTCCTTTAAAACAAGGAAATAAGAACAAACTTTTCTCCATTTAAGTGTTATTTGGTATTCTTAGTTTTACTTGACAGACCGACTACAAAAACGTATGAGCTTTCACATTTTACATTTGAGAAGAGAAAATAATTAAATTTTAAAGAAAGAAAGAAAAGATCTGCTTTTCTAATTAAATTTAAAGAGAAATTTCTTTCTTCATTCAATCCACAGGACTTACTGAGCTCCAGCGGTGTGCAAGGTAATAGCTCTGAAGAGGTGAGGGACAAAGCAGACAAGGGCCTTTCACCCTCTGGGAAGACAGCCAACAAACGTGTAGGTAAATAAACAACTTCAGGAACGACACGTGATACCAAGACAACAGAATAGAGTAAGGGGACAGAGCGTGACTGGTGGGTAAGGGGGGACCCGTGCAGACAACGTGGTCATGGAAGCACTCTAATGGAGACTCAGTGACATCAAGGAATAAACTGCAATGAACCTGAATAACCAAAACGAGGAGAGGAAGAGATGTGCGAGGACAAGACGAGCACCTGCAGAAACCTGAGGGAGTGTGCAGCAAGCGCAGGGTTAGGTTCTGAGAAAGGGCAGTGGCCACATAAGTAAGCAGGGCTGACAGAGTACGGGTAAAAAAAAACAGGTTTTATTCTAGGTGCCACAGGAAGAGCTGTATGCAAGGCAGTGACACGATTAAGGATTTTTGCATTTTGTTTAATAACTCTGGATCCTGTATGGATTAAACACTTTGGCTTTTTGGTGTTTTGTTTTTTTTTTTTAATAACTTGATACTACTTACGTGGAGAATGGATGATAGAGGCCAAAGTGGAAAAAGAGAAAACAAGTTGGGACACAGACCCAGGTGTCCTGACACTGCCTGGAACTAAAGGACAGGCCATAGAAAAGGAAGCAATAAATGGAAATGAGATGTACCGGGAAGGCAGGACCGAGGGTGGTTGCTGGTGATATTTAAGACGAGGGGCTGAATGAGACCAGCAGGGGTGGGGGAGGGGGAAAAGAGCAAGCCCAGGAATGGTCCAAAGCTTTCCACAGTGGAGGGAGAGTCTGAGGTCAGGGCAGCCCCGGGGAAAAGCCAGCATGAAGATTGAGCGTGGGTGGCTAGTGACAGCTAGCTGAAAGGCGGCGTCAGGCGGGAGAAGTAACTGTCAAACCTGACAGCACAGTGGCCCCTGATCACCCACAGAGCAAGAGCAGCAGGGGAGGCTGGTGGGGGGCGGAGGGCAGAAAATAAAGGCCGAGAGGGAGATGAGAAGTAAACAGGTATGGATGGTCCTTTTGAGAAGTTTTGCTTTAAAGAGATCAAGTGTAACTACACCTATTTGTGTCTTTTTTATTAGCACGTGAGTCTTGTGAAAAGTAATGCAGGATCTGGGAAATGAAATCACCTGTTATAGTTGCTAGATCCATTTCTGGCACAATAACTAGGTGCCCCTAATTAAATCATTATTTATTAAGACAATTTCCAAAATTCTATCTTTAGGTTTACATTGAAAACGCTGCTAAAGTAAAATCTTGTATTTGTTTTCATTGACAAAGTTTCTAAAATTGGAACAAATTACACTATCAAAGTTGTTAAGGCCCTATTCACATAATTTCAGAAAAAATTTTGCACAGGTTGAGTCACAAACAAGTACTGGCCCCATCTTCCCCTGAGGTGTAAATACTACATAAATATGTCCATTTTAACAATTTTCACAATTAAACTTTATTTGGGGATATAACAGTAAATATAAGCAGCTACTGTTGTAGGAGCTCCAATGAAATAGTAACCACCATTTCAGTACAACCCAATTAAAGCGCAGAAACCACTGATGGACGAGAACCACAGAAAGCCATTTTTAGCCATTTCAGCACCACTCTCCCTTGAGGTCTGGGAGCAAGTCTGCAAGCAAAGGTCTTCAGTGAAGTGTGAGCCTGGGAAGGGGAAACAGCCCTCCTGTGGGCAGGCTTCCTTCCGGTCCCCACCACCCATCCTGCGCTCCTTCTCGAGGTTTACTCTGCTAGGTGGACACTGCCCTGAGCTTAAGCCAAGTTAAAAGGGTCTGCAACATTTGAGTGGGTAACTGACCACCAAGTTTTCACGGTAACAGCCCACTTCAGTGTCATCTGTTTAGCAGAGACAACACACCTAAGAATTAAAGGTGTTAAGTGGCCTCCAACATTTACTCTGTTAATAGGGCCCTACTCCCTTTGCAGTCAGGCTCCTGTACTGCCCAGTGTGCTGGAATGTGCCTGCACCTGCATTCAGTGTGTGCATACCCCTGCTGTCCCCTCCTCCTCGCCTGAGCAGGGAGAGGAACAAACCTCAGAAGGCAAGGTCTCTCTGTTGTGAGGCAATTCTTCCTCTGAGGCTCAGAGGTAAGGCATTTGCTAAGATGTTTTAGTAAAGACAGAAAACAGAATTGAATTTAAAATGAACAATCCATTAAACTTAATCGATGATTAACAATGAACTCTAACAAAGATCTGCAAATAGAGAGAAACCACATATAACAGCAACCATAAACTATCACTAAAAATGCAAAAGATACTGGGAAAGTTAATGATGAATGGCCTTGGGGTGGTGGGGAACCAAGATTTTGTAATCAGCATTTTATATAGTAAATCTGTACCAAATTAGTAATTATAAAGGCCGGTATTATCCTATAAAATATTTCAGGACAAGAGCTACTTCTTATTACTAAATATTATGGACATGGTTATTTTAGTCCCCAACCAAAAGAGAAATGAAGTTATTTTTCATTCATTCATTCATTCATTTATTTTTGCGATACGCGGGCCTCTCACTGTTGTGACCTCTCCCGTTGCGGAGCACAGGCTCCGGACGCGCAGACTCAGCGGCCATGGCTCATGGGCCCAGCCGCTCCACGGCACGTGGGATCTTCCTGGACTGGGGCACGAACCCATGTCCCCTGCATCGGCAGGTGGACTCTCAACCACTGCGCCACCAGGGAAGCCCTATTTTTCATTTATTTTATCATGGTCATCTGTTCTTTTTGTCAGTAAGTATTTTTACAACTCAACTTCTCAAGGGCTTAGCATAGGGTCCATTTAACAGAAATGATTTTGTACTATTAAATCATAAGAAATCTTGGTTATGATTTAAAAAGACAGTCAAAGAAGAATCTTCAGAGCAGAAATACTACGATATAAGCTCTCTATAGCAGACACTTAATGGTAAGCATATTTTTTAAGAAAAAAATTACTCCATTATTACAAAGTATTTCAACAGTGTTTGAATTGAATTGAATGATATTTAGAAAATGAAATCTATCTGCCAAACCAATAACTATTTAACATACCACCATTTAAATTTTGGTTCAAAACATAATACCCTTAGCTCTTAAGTGATTAAAAAGTATAAATTCAAAATTTTAATACGTTTACATGAACTAAAATAGCTATTTAAAAAATTAATGTCGTATTTGAGTGCTATTTATGTTAAAAATAACTATATTCTTTCATATTACTATGAACTTAAAAAAGGGTAACATACACTTTCAACTCAAAAGTCACTGAAACCCAGAGGACAAATCCATTGAGGATTATGTATACAAAGTTGGTATTTTGTTCAGGCAATAAATTATATATTTTGTAATGTGACTATAAAACTATATATAATAACAATTATTTTTAAAACAAGAGCTTCACGTGCACTTACACTGAAGATGGGGAGAAATGGGAGGAAGTGACTCCAGATGCCCAGCTCTAGAAGCTTCAGTAACCATCAGTTAACAATAACGTTCCTATTCATTTGATAGTTTCCTATCTCAAATAATCTAATACAAACAAAAGGCACCAAAACTCCAGAAGATCCACCAAACAGTACAACAGAAAGAAAACCCCCAGCTCTGCCTTTGGGTCGCGCACCTTCTTTCTAGTGGACTCCTCATTCTCTGAAGCAGCGGCTTTCAGGATATTTTCAAAATGAATCAAAGATAATGTGTGCATAAAATGAAATTACAGTTTTATGAGTCTGATGAACTGACATTTTCTGTTTTTGTTATAATGCTGGTTAAGTTCCATTAAATGAATTTACATGGCCTTCAAATGGGTAAAGATGCTCAGTTGAGAAATACGGTCTACAGAGAAGCCGACATTCCTTTACCTGGGAAGATAACCCCCAGTGGCGTATTTTGTTTGAACAAAGTCTTTACCACTACATAATCATATACAATTTTAGAGGTCATTTTAATAAAGACATTTTATCTATTATAAAATGGTGGCCCCCAGTTTCACATCACTATGAATTAAGAAACGCTGAATTCTCTTTTGTTTCTTCTTAAAACACTAATTCTTGCCCTGCAGTGCTTCCTGCACGCAGGAGAGAAATCACTACGATGACGAATGATGTCAGCAGGTCCTCACCAGAGAGCTCATCGAATACGTATCCCTTTCTCTAAACTAGACCTGAAGTACAGTTTTTCAAATTAAATTTGGCTCCAGCAGTCAATCAGAGATTGTCAAATAAGTTGCAGAGAAGCTGATCACATCACTTACTACTTACGGTCTTAAAATCTGCTGCTGCTCTTCGTATAAGTTTTAATTTGGGGCCAACAGTCCTTATTTCTGTTTTTGCTACGCCCATTGCTCTTTTCGTCTCTGCCTTCCAGAACGAAGAAAATGCAAGAGCAGGAAAAAAACTTCACTTTAAATATTTTAATAATATTTTATTAATCAAATCATCCAATTTAAGAATGACTTTAGACTTAAAAAATAATTGCTTTGTCATATATAGCTAAAAAAAATCATTCATCTTTCTACAGGATTTTAGATATGCCAAAGTTCAAATATTACTACTTGGTCATACCTGCAGTAAGAAATGAATAGCATTAAAATTTTCTCTATACACATATAAACCAGGGGTCTTCAAGCAATTTATGGTAGGGAAAAAAAACTTTTAGAAAGCAGTTTGTCAACACTGATAAGCTAAAAGCACTACACTGCAGAACTGAAAGAAAGGAAACTATGGGAGAGATTTTTTAAAAAAAGATAATAGTGACAGAAAAAGAAGTTTAACTAATATGCAAATAAGGCTTTAAGACATCTTTTTAAAGAACTGACAATCAGTACCTTTTTAAATTTTCCTTGTCGTTTTGCTGCAGACTGCCCCTGGGAGTTAGAACAACATTCTGTAAGAAAACATGCGTAATCTACACAGGATGGAGATACCACCTCTGTCTACTTTTCTGCCAGTTTCCGTTCCACCTGTATGGGTCACAGTACTTAGAAGGGTCAGGTCTGTCATCAAAATGGCAGGCTTTTAAAGAAAGCAATACTGCCACTTTCTTTTTTTTTTTTTTTTTTTAATAAAAATGCACTCAAATGTGTTATTCCTAAGGGTCAATGTTTTTCAGCTTTTTATTTCAAAAGTTTGTAGAGCAAAATTTATTAGTTATCCAAACAGTTCTGAAAACATTAAATTTAGGTAACAGTCCGCAGAGTCAGATTTTCAAGGCTGTCACAACGATCACACACGCCCACGCGCCAGAAACAGCATCATTCGAGGGAACTGAGAACGTCAGAGAGGGGCAAGAGGAAGTTACCTTCGCAGCTGCCAGAACTGCAAGAGACGCACCATGGCTGAGATCCGATGAAATAAACAACGTGTTGGGAATTACAATTAACTCTGTAGCTTTAGGTTTTCTCAAGAAAATCTACCCTGGTAAGTAATAACTAGTCAATCCCACCTGTTTATAACTTAATTTCACAACTGCCTCTTAAAGAATGCAGCCAGGAAGCAGTAACTATCTCTGAATTGCTAAAAGCATACTTCTAATAACAATGCTCTTCTTCTGTCTTACTCATCACAGGCAGTGGACACTTCAGAAGTTACCTGGATGAGAAGCCTCACTGCTGAAGCCCCATAGCAGAGGCAGCAATATTTCCCATAGCGGAAAATGAAACCTACTTAAAAAGACCTAGACCAGGACTTTTTAAATCAGTGCACCTATGAATTCCAGTAACTACTGATTCACTTCACATTCTACTAAGGCTATATTATACTGAAGTACTTATAATTTATACTAAAATACATATAAGTAAATGGTACAGACTGAAATGAGACTCGAGAAATATGAGAGCAAATGACTTGCTCTAAGCACAAAAGTCCTACGTGATGACACTCCTATGACAGCGAATAAACCATCTTTGGTTCAACAGTGGTAAGACATGAGAATACTTGTTAAGATGTTTGAGCTCTATTCATTTTGATAACAGCACTTATAAATTCCAGAATTAGGTGGTAGACTTACTTTGTAAGAAATAATGCTAAAGAGAAATGCAAAACTATAAGAATGACAACTTTTACTGGCATTGAGCTAAAATGACATTATGACAGAGGGTGACAGATGTATATAAACACTATTCTCACAATAAATTTGTAATGAAAACAGATGGAAAAACTAAAACAGGTACTATCAAACCATAACAGTTATCTCTAAAATATAAAAACCAGAAACATGTTTTTAACAAAAAGCACAATTTTGAAACTATAAAATAAACCTTAGTGCCAAAAGAAATAACTACCTTGTAGATAACTCTACACAAAATTCCAATAAGAGAAAGATCTGTACAAGTAAAAAATACTGTTTTAGTAATTGTCCTGACTGGTTTTTAGAAATCACCCAAGAAGATCTGATTTATTCCTATATCCACAATATTACATTAGTTAAAACTCTATAAATTCTCTAATTTTAAAAACATCTCATTCACTTAAGCCAAGTCTGATCTGGATCTACATATTTCATGGGAAGTTCAAATATATTAGCTGTGCAAGGCAGAACAGGTTCAAGGCCCAAGTACTTAGGCTTGGGAAAAAGAATACTAAATATATGAAAATACAACCAAATATTAACTGACCTTTACTAGCAACTTGGGGAAAAAAACTATTAAATTTCTTTTTCCAGAGAGATCTTCTCTTTTACTCATTCTGAAATGTAAATTAATTTCCATTTTTAAGGAAATGGAAATTTTGGAACAGGCACTTTCAGTGTAAAAAAAAGAACAACAACAAAAAACCTAATACTTACAGCTTTCTTTCCAAGTTCAGTCTTTGACAATGTTAATGATCCTGCAAGGTAGCATCCAGGTCCTGCCCCTTTAGGTATTCTAAGAAGAAGATTCAAAAGAAGAGAGAAAAGGAACAAAAAAGAAAGTTTCACAAAGAGAATTAGGGGGAAAAACATCAAAACAATTGCATTCTGAAATAATTTCCGTAGCTAAGATTTCAAAAACCAAAGGGAGAAATAACCTTAGTCTAAAATGGCAAATGACAACACAGTATAAGTGTAGCCTAGTATTATAAACTAGCATTTAAAGATTACAGAGTATAAGATGGACAGCGAGTGTTAAGCAATGTTATTACTTACTTGTCGTCAGGTAAGGAAGTAACAAAGAATGGCTGGTTATATTTGGGTGGTAATGTCAAGTTACTTGATTTCTTCTTTCCTAGAAGTGCAAGACTATGATTTTCATGAATATCTAAGCTCAAGGTATTAGACAACCTATGAGAAACAATAAATGGAAGATCTTTAAGACGTTCCAAATCACTGATTTGCTCATGACGAATCTGCAGTCGAATTGTATAATCTCCTTTCTCCAGTTTCAAAGAATACTATAAAAGAAAAACAACATTTGGGAAAAGTAAGGTTTAGCCACATGAACAAAAATTACAGTAAGAGGATAAACAGTTAAGAATTACTACTTACAGAGTGCTTACAGTATGTGAGGTACAGTGCAAGTTACAACACACACACATGACACGCACACAACGCCCCGCTGGATGTCAAAGTGAGCTGGCCAAGGTCACATCCAGAGCAGAGGATTAGGGAGCTGAAGGCAGCCAAGCCCTCAGCCCTCAGCCCTCCCACAACAGGCCACTCCTAGGCGCCCAGCTGAATCAGCATCCGCTCAAGACTGGAAAAGGTAACGATTTTCTAGTTCCTGGGTCTTCACAGGCACGGATAAAACGACACCAAGAATGAGCAAAACTGAGGCGCTGTATAGTATCTAAGACAGACACACACACGTGTTTGTATGCACATGACTGGTAACCTTTAGATCATAACCACCATGCCACCCCCCTTTATTACAGACAGGAAAAACAGGGAGCCAATGGGAACAAAGGAGTACAGATCTGCCACGCTCCATCCAGGCAACCTGCTCAAGAGGACGGAATGCTGTATGCTGCAGCAGCAGTTTCTTCTGAGATTTTTAAAAGCAACAAAAGGAATGGCTGCAATAACCCAGTCTTTACTGAGGAGACGTGCCAGGGCCTGGCTTTGAGGAAAAAAAGGAAACCATTCCTTGAATGACTAACTGAAAACCCTGCGTAAATTATTTTTATTATTTAGCATAAAATTATAAAGGTTACAGGAAATAGTTCATTTCTTTGTCCCAGTCTTTCAATCAGGGATAAGATTTCTACAAATTATATGATTAAAAGATTTTTTTTCCTTCCAAATGACAGTGCCAGGCACAGTGCTTGGCATATAGTAAGTGCTCACTACACAGTGACCAAGAAGAAACATATTTCAAAGTTCTAATAAAATGAAGACACTTGGCACTGTCGTTGTGCTCTGGATCCAGTTCAGACCTGGGATCACTTCAAGGGGCTCACATATCCTGGATGATTTGCTTTCACTGTGCAGATAGGAGCAAGCACTGGGTAGGAAGAAGAAGTACTAAAAATAAAAAGCTCTGCTGGCCAGCGTCTGTGAGCATCCTCCTAGCCCTCCTTTACCCCGAAGCCGGATTCAGCCCAACCGTGGGGCTGAAAAGCTGTCACGGTCTGACCTGCAACAGACAGCTGAGCTGCTAGCCATGTGTCCAAGTACTAAATGCACAACCACACTGGTGCTTAAAAAGCAGGCACATTACCAGAGCAAGAATCCGGGCTTCAACAGCTCAAGAAACAGCTGTTAATTCTAAAAATCATACCTGATGAGGGTAAGCATCGCCAGAACCCATCTGTCTTTTGTTCTGGTCAAATATAATCCACAGCTGGCTGTCAAATTCTGATTCGTACAATAATTCACAAAGCAGGGGGCAGCTTGGAGTCACTTCCCCACTCTTGGGCTGTGGGGAAAAAAAAAAAAAAAAGAATGATTATTTGATGTGGCTTATATGATTTCTAATGTAGACCTGTAATGTTGCTATTGATCAGACTTTTACTTTAAAAGTATTAAAAATATTTTCTTGCAGTAACCAATTTCAAAAATGCGGAACACATCCAGGATTTCGGGACTAATAAAAGGTACTTCTCTTACAAGGTTTAAAAAACACAAACCTAGCTAACTGTATTCATTACTAAAGCAACACCTATTCTTCAGGACCTCTAATTAACTGGGTTTTTTTAATAAAACTAAAAATTTCTTTATGAAGTTGAAATTAGACAACCCACTGAAATCAATTATCTCCCCAACAGTAATTCATATTATGCTTCAATAAGAGTTTTACTAAAATCTTACTGATCCTCCATAAACTTCGATCTGATTTTTATGCCCGTCTCAACTACCTTTACTACCCATTCAACCTAGGAGCTATTCTGATGTCTCACTGTGCCAACACCTGCTTCACAGAGAGCAATCAGGCCTGGTTCCATAATCAGAAGGCATCTGGCTTTGACAAGACATCAAACCAGTGGACAGGTATCAGAGAATAGGCAGGTGTCAGTGATTACAAAAACTAAGGCTCAAAGGCCAGGTCACCACTAAATTAGAATCTGTGACTTCAGATCTGAATGGTACTTAGATCGTTCTATATCATAATTTCCCAAAGAATAATTCTAAATTAACCAGGGTTAATCACTTGTTTTTTATTTCATATATATGTATGTCACACACACACACACACACACTCTCTCTCTCTCTCTGAATACACTGTCCTTCCATTTTTGATTTTATGATTCATAGAACACAAGAGTTCTTTGTAAGGGTATACTTGGTTACACAAACACTTACTTGATGAAAGTTGTAAGTCAGGATCATCTCATAAAGTTGACGATTATTTGGCAAAACATCCCTTGATCCTAAAGGTTTTGTTTTTGCACTGAGTGGGCTGTAATCAGACAATTGCACAAGAGTTTATTGAAATGAGAGAAAACTATAACCAGCAAAATCTATAACGTATCACAATAAATGACAAATGAGCATTCCTAGATGCTGTCCTTTTCCATGTATTTTGTAATATTTTAATCATTAACTTATATAATTCTTTACTGACTGAACCATAGCAATACACAGTTAAATTTTGCAGTATTACAAAGGTAATCTTCTCATGATAAAAACATTTTCAACCATCAACAGACGGTCTCAACAGAATCAGATCCCAAGACTAGGTGACAATTCCTCACAGTGCTGAAGGACAGGGTTTGACCGCAGACAGCCCTGCCCTCACCACGGGATGGGTCCTGCCAGGTGCCACAGCAAGGGCTCTATGCACATGTTACTTAAAGCCAGAAGCTGCTGCTGTGGCTGCCTCTCAGAGACCCACCAGGTTCCCTGGGCTGGAAAGTCATGAACTGAATTTTCACGTCCAGCATTCACATGATTAAAAATAAAAGAGACCCTTTCCAAAGAGTGAAGAGACGCCCATCCCCCCACCCCATCACACTGATACCCAACATTTACAGCCCCCAAACATTGAAGATACCGCAGTGTTTGGACCCAGCTCTTCAAAGTTATGCAGGGAGCCAGATCTTCATATTTCAAGGAGGACTGAACATCAAAACGGTTGATTCCTTCTGATGCATGCTACAAAGGATATTTATCAAATTAGTTTCTCCAACTTTACTGAAAAAAACTGCATTTTTAAACAATATTTGGACCTAAATGTGTCAAACACAATGTTTATAAGCACCTATGAACAAAGACTGTTATTTCCAGAACCATAATCTCCCCATTAAAATGTAAACCCAACCACTGAAATTATTTCACAATAACACAAATAACTGACATTAAAAATGATGGAAATGTGGAACTTACAATGTTTAACTGAGGAGCAGTACATACTATCCCATGAAAAGAAATGGTATAATCAATATTGACATCACTAAGACTTGCCCACCAACGAGCAATGCAAAACTCAATTGCTTTCCCACCCTGCAAAGAAAAATGAAATTAAACTATCAATGCGTAAATCACAAAACATAAATAGGTGCTTCAAAGCAGTTCTATGCTTTCAAACTTCTCCTATTTGTACAGCAGGAAAATTCAAAGAACCTTATCATTAGCTATGCTTGAAGTTACACAAATCACAGTTGCTGAGACAGAGTGCAGGTATTTAAATACACAGTTATTTACTCATAATCCTCAACTGCTTGTCGTAAGAGGTCTGAGGCAGCTTCTGAAGTACATGTAATAAAATAATGGTGAAAACAAACTGGAATAAAAACTTGGGACCAAAGGAAAAATAATTAAGAACAATGACAAGAGAAGGGGTATGACAGCTTTGTGAGGCATATTCAATAGCCACAGCTGAGTTTTGGGCTCAAGAGCTACCTGGCAACCAAAGCCAAATGAAATTATGGCCACTCACATGTTTCTTCCTATTAAAAAAATTAAAAACAAAAGCTGTTCTTTGAACACTGAGTTTTAAATTTTCTAGTTATCAGTGTATTAGAAAGTTTAAAGTGAACCATATTACTCTATAACACATACAGGGACACAAGTCAAAGGTATCAGAAACAAAAGAGATACAGGAAAGATGAGGTAGCCATCTGAAAACACTAAGTAGCAAGTTCAAGAAAGAACATCAGTGCATTCACCTTCTAGAAGGAAGGACTAGGCACCATTTCTAACACTACAGGTAAGCCTGGAGATCTGCCAGGCTAATTTGTAGGCAGGAGTAGCAGTTTCACCTACAAAGCAAATTAACCTCATGGATTCTTAGCAACGGAGCATTAATAAAATAACTAAAATAAGTAGAAAACACGTAGAAAAGTCTTAAACATGGAAATAATCTACTGTACGATGAGGAGACAATCTCAACCAGGGTCCACTTTGTGAGGTGTCAGCATCTGGCAGACCAGCACTTTCCTAAGAGATTAACATTTACCTCAACTTGGTTGCAAGTATCCTAGTAAAACAACCTATCTTCCCACATTATTCAGCATTAATAAAATAAACAGTCCCAATGTGCTCTGAATACAAACTATAAAATCAAATTCAAATACTTAGTCTTAGCCCACACCCAGAATGAAAGGAAACTGTTTCAGGATTCCAGACTGTTAATTAAAACTTACCAAGACAGGAAAAGATTCAGTCAGCATTCCTTTCTCTGGAAGGGAACAAAACTTATAGAACTCATGACTTCGATAGGCTCTCTGCTTCACAAGCTGCACTGCATGAAGAACAAACTTGGCAGATACCTCAGAAGAACAGGAGCACACCATAACTTCTACAACGAGAGGGAAGAAGCAACATTTTAACTGATGAGATTTAATTTAAAATGGACACAAAATGGCTTTCATAGTGCCTACTTAGGGGGAAATACTATATCAAGAGAATGAAATGGTATATTCAAATGGAATCTGCTATTTCCTTAAAAACAATGAACTGACCGAGTATTAATAAAGATGAGAGGGTAGAAAATTTAGCTACGGAAAATAAATAAATCAGGACTAAAATAAGCAACTGCTATGCTGCAAACAGCAGCAAGCTGTCCACAGATGTGGACACACAATTATCCTAATCAGGTAATTTTTAAAATCCCTCCCTTCTCTGTTACTAAGTTCAACCTTTCCTCTTGCTGTAGCTAAAAACCAATCAATTCTTGGTAAAGAGGATTTTAATTTTAGAAACCTCTATCTGTTAGCATGCCTAAGTTCCATTAGTATCCATTTATCCAACTTCACTGATAACTTTTCCTAGTCTCTCGCTCTTGGTTTATCTGCACTGTTTGCTTCTGGAAAGTATGACTATCACAACTACATATGCTTAGCTGTGCTCTGCGGCGGAGCTGGAGATGAGCCAGGATCACCGTGAAGTCAGGTCAGCAGCTTACCTCGCGAATACCTGGCCCTGAGACAAAGAACTGAAGCAAGGCTTAATTCTCTGCTTCACAAGATCAAGTGGGCACAGGGCTCTGGGAACCTAATCACTTGCTAAGAATACAGAATCTAGTGTTATGACAGTATGTCCAAGTGTTTGAAATAGGAATCATCTGTAGTGCATTTCTTTTTTTCCCCTGCTTTGACTCTCCCCCCCCCCCAGTTTTATTGAGAAACAACTGACATATAATATTTTCAAGTTCAGGGTGTACAACGTGATGATTTGACGAATATGTATATGTTATGAAACAATCATCACAAAAAAGTTAGCTAACACATACATCACTTCATATAGGTACCAATTTTTTTTGGTGGGGAGAACATCTAAGATCTACCGTCTTAGCAAATTTCAAGTATACAACCCAGTATTATTAAGTACAGTCACCATGCTGGACATTAGATCCCTCAAACTTTTCCATTTTATAACAAAGTCTGTGCCCTTGACCAACATCTCTCCCCCGCCACCTCCCACAGTATATATCTAATCAAAGACTGCTAAATGCTCTGAGCTACTTCTATTCTGGATGATCTGATCAATTCTTATTAAAAACAAAAAACAAACACCCAAAAAAGCAAAGAACTAATTATTTTCAAAACCCAACCTAAACAAATCATAATTAGGGCATTATAATCACTGACATTTACCAGTAAACAGACATCATGTTCAATATGAATTAACTATAGATCTTTATTCTTTGGTATGATTAGCGCACGTTTTATTAGAGTTAGATGTTACACAACCATTGGGCCTATGTGAGTGGAAGCCCTGAGTTGTACCACGATGCAACTCTGACTCTGATCGTGAACAGAGAAGGCATTATTCTGAACCAAATTAAAATCCTAACTATTAAAACATCTTAAGATAGCCTAGATCAGCGGTCCCCAACCTTTCTGGCACCAGGGACCAGTTCCCTGGAAGGCAATTTCTCCATGGACTTGGGGGGAGGGGTGTTGGTTGGGGATGGACGGCTCAGGCGGTGATGCGAGCAGATGGGGGGCGATGGGGGGTGGCAGATGAAGCTCCGCTGGCTCGCCTGCCACCCATCTCCTGCTGTGCGGCCCGCTTCCTAACGGGCCCCGGACCGGTACGGGTCCATAGCCCAGGGGTTGGAGACCCCTGGCCTAAACAGATGACTGACATATGAGCCAATGCAAAATAGGACTAGATCTTTAAAAAGGTTTGAACCTAATAGCAAATCTACGGTGCCAGACACCTATTACTGTCGTGAGAAAAGTCTACTGCAGATATATGAACTTTATATGGTCATAACCAGAGGAGAGATAGAATGCACATAAAGGTAAATGGGCAAGACAAGACATTAATTTTACTTACCAGCCCATGTTGCACCCTCAGGAACCTCAATAAAATGCCTTCGAATTTGACCAGGTTTAAAATGTACATCTGTCAAGGCTAGATCATAATGGGTTGATTCATTTACTCTGAAAATTAATAAAAATAAATGATCAAACATGACACTCTCATTAAAAAAGCTTTATAAGCCCACTGGTACTCTAGATTTCAACAGTTCATGAGAAATGAACACAGGGAGTTAAAAGCTGGTAACAAAACAGTATGCACAATGTCATCTCAGCTTTGCAACATGTTAGCAGAGATACACTGTGGAGATGCTTTTTCTGCTTTTTACTTGTTTGCTTTATAATTTGTCTGAAGTCAGACACATAGCTCCCTCTTTTTCGGTTAAAGGAATTCTACAACATTCACAGGATTTTCCAGTTACCAGAATCTGGACTATTTGAGTCCAAAATATTAAAATCAAAGGTAATGTTTTGTGCCACTGATACTGCCTTATAGTTGAGACTGATATTAAATTTAACCTTTCATAGCTTCAAAATGCACCCATGCCATAAATGACACAGTAAAGAAGAGAAAGTACTTTCATAGCGTTTTTGTAAGGGATCAGTGAAACATAAAGGTCAAATGTATAATTACCCAACCCAGAAACCTAAAGTACATACTAAGGACAAACTCTAGTCAGTATGACAAACATTTAGTGAGTGTCTACTACACCTGAGGCACTGCTATTAGGGGCTACAATTACAACAATGAATATAATGTTTTCCTTTTCCCTAGCCAATCTAGCGGGGACAGAAAACCCAACAGGGACGTTGAACATAATATTCTCTGGGGAGACAGGAAGCGTTAGTGGAAAAGATGCAAGGTTCCTGGTTCACGAGGAGCGGTCAGGGAAAGCTTCCTGAAGCAGATGAGGTCTCAGCCAACTCCTGAATCTTGTACATTACCTTGTCGAAGTTCCTAAGGGACTTCTAGGGAATATGTGGCTGAGAATTTAACTGTTCTGCAATTTTTTTTTTTTTTTTTTTTTTTTCGGTACGCGGGCCTCTCTCTGTTGTGGCCTCTCCCGTTGCGGAGCACAGGCTCCGGACGCGCAGGCCCAGCGGCCACGGCTCACGGGCCCAGCCGCTCCGCTGCATGTGGGATCTTCCCGGACCGGGGCACGAACCCGCGTCCCCTGCATCGGCAGGCGGACTCTCAACCACTGCGCCACCAGGGAAGCCCTGTTCTGCAATTTTTTCACGTGTGTGTCACTTGTTACCTCCTCAATTTCATCCTGTTTCATATGGGCTGAGACCTACTGCATATTAAATATTACTGTGCAACTAACTCAATAGAAGCTGTTAACTCAGAGTTCTCTATTGTTTCCAGTACTCTCATCTCCATCTTGCCTTTCATGTACTGAATAATTTGTTTCGTACATTCTGTACAATGGGTTCCATATGGGGTCACGTAAGATGCAGTCCCCGTGTCTTCTGTGGGCTCACAGTCAAATGGGGTGAATTAAAAATGACAACACATGGGCTTCCCTGGTGGCGCAGTGGTTGGGAGTCCGCCTGCCGGTGCGGGGGATACGGGGTCGTGCCCCGGGCCGGGAGGATCCCGCGTGCTGTGGAGCGGCTGGGCCCGGGAGCCGTGGGCGGTGG